ATATGCACTGGCAATGTCCCTACTAATCTCTGCTTAGACAATCTAGCTAAGTGACATAAGGACATAATGAGTAAGAAAGAAAAAGAGAGAGACAATACAGCGAAGTTATGGTTTTCAATGTATAGTAGTATTTATTGAAGAGTACTTGCTCTTGACACTTCCGTGTATTTCAAGTTGGATGGTAATAGAGATAAAGGAGATACATGAGAAAACATGTGATACTGATTACAAGTAAAACGATAATATAAGTTTTTTACAAAGAAAGGAAAAAAACTGTGGAGTTAAGGACGTTTATTACATTTAGCGTTTTGGGTAGAATCTTCCTAAAATTTTAACAGGATATTTTTAATGATAATATAAGTCACGTGTAAAATTTGAAACCGTTTGACAACACCATTTTTTAGATATTAAATGTTGAAAAAATTTCAACTCAACACGCAACTTTATGGAAGAGTTGCATAAAAATGTAATTTATGAGAAAATGGTTATAGCATAATACTGGTATCATATTTGATTTTCAGAGGGACCAACAAATTATTTTTGTAATTAAATAAAAAAATAGATGTCCTATATATATATATATATATATATATATATGTATTCAAAACAGTTGCCGGCGCTGCCGCATGCTCGCTCCCCCCTCACTGCACTCTCTACATTTTCCCTATAACTGTCATAATCGCCCTAAAGGAGAGAGAAAGTTAAAAAAAAATGACCTTAGAAGAAATATGAGGTAAGGATTTGGAAATAAAAAGCAAGAAAATGCAGCTCAACTATGTCAAATGGATGATGAAGCTGGATTTTTATGCAAGAGATACAGTGATAATAAGAATATTAGAACTATAAGACTACGTTATGTGTGAAATATCAAAGCTTTAAGTTAAAAAAAAAAGCTGAAGCATACGAATAATGAAAGTTAAAAAAAAAAAGCTGAAGCATACGAATAATGAAAGACTAATAAAAGTATTTTAGAACAAAATAGAAATATTGGGAGTGATATTTATACAGCGTGAAAAGAAAAAACTGTTTAAATAGCCTAGATTAGGGCGTTAATAAGCAATTAAAATAAAAGTAGATATTATTGAAATAGATTAGGACAAAGAATGGGCCGTATGGAAAAATCACAAATAGAAAGTAATAAAGGTAACTCAAAGTAAAACAAATGGTACAAGAATGTAATATCTGAAAATATTTTCAAATATTTCTATACATAGGCAATAGAAAAGAATATTAGTAAAGTATAAAGATCCGTAACATAAAATTTGCAAATAAATATTTAACTGATGTATTAGAAACTTCAAATTCCCAACGTAAAAAATATGTTACTTTCGATCATACAATAAATAAATGCAAAGTTAGTTGTAAGTACCAGGAAAAAAAGTATAAAAATAAATGATAAAGAAATGAAGCTAGCCAATTCTGTATTAATGCTACAGCTTCAAATGATATTTTTAACTGTTCAAGATACTTAGGCATTGTTTATTTTTAAGCCAAGTATTGCGAGAATCTTAAGTTTTCGACTTACTTAACCCTTAAATTTCTATTTCTCCCCATGTTAAATTTTTTCTGATACAAATAAAAAAATGGTACAGCTACTGATGCCTGCATTATACCTAATTTATCCATGCACTCTTTTAACTTACAAAGTTACTTTTAGAACAAATTATAAAAGTCAACGGCTATGAATAAATAGAATTTTTTTTTAAATGCCCTATCTCTGTAAGTATGATTCTACTGGTTATAGCTTATTCCCAAAATTTTCTTTTATTATCAGTTAACAGCTTTGTATTTACATATTTTTTATGACATTTTGTGGCACTTGCTTACAAAGCGAATGGATTATTTTTTATATACTTATTTACTTAACTGGTATATACATTGGTCAGCTTAGCTGAATACGAATCAAGATAGAAAACGTCAAGCGAAATTTCCAAGAAATCTTAGAATATTTTAATACTTATAAACTTATTTTAATGCAATTTTAGAAAAATTTTAAGTTTCCTTGTTTTTGAAAAAAAAAAAAAAAAAAAAAAACCAACGTACAAAAAAATTTGTTCGAAAAAAATTAAGTTTCCTACATTTTTGTCTAATCAATAGGTTTTTAAACAAACGATGTTAACATTTTGTAAAATATATTGACGAATTCTGAATCCACATTAAAAAATTTCAAAGTATCATCGTGTTTTAACTATAGGCACTCTTTTATACCTCGACCAAGCCTACATAATAGATGCATTAGGGGCATTGTTAAAGACTTTCAATTTTGCGTCAACCACGTCTTAAAAAAAATAATAACGATAAAGGCTAAGTTGGAACCGGGAAAAGTACACTAACTGAAGAAGTACGTTTTTAAAAACTCTAAAAAGAATAATTAGATCGACAGTTATTAACCAGTGAAGTTGGGTGAAAACCTGAAATTTAAAAGCTTATAAAATTTATTACTTTTATGAATGAAATATAAACATTTCTAATCATCACAAACTTGCTTAGTTAGCCGCAATTCAATATAAAAATGAATGACAATTTGGTTGTTTGAGCCGGACTATTTATTTTAAAAAAGTATAACATTTGTCCGATATTTCAGCAATTTAGTATTGCCATTCTCAGGGAATTCTTAAAATTTTTTAACAAATTAAGTAAATGGTCGAGCCCCTTTATTGCACACACACCCCCTCGTGATCAAACAATATATTTTTTTTTATTGTTCATCATCGCCCGTAGGCTCAGATATGGCTTTTTTTACACAAGAATAGTGTTTTTCAGCCATCGGTGCACCTGGATTATGACCATATTATATTATACGCATATAAATATCTGGACCAACTTATAGTCACACCTATGATCACCATGCCGAAGCGAAAGAGAAACAGTTAATCGACCCTCATGAATCAAGAGCATAGGTGGAACGGCGAGACCTGAATGGTCACCAGACCGTCACCCATCCAAGTACTAACCGCGCCGAATGCAGCTTAACCTCGGAGATCGACGAAACTGCAACTCTACCGTTGCGCCACCGCGACCACTAAAATCAATATTTTTAAAATACCAACATTGTACAAAATCTATATTGTTATACATACTGTTCAGCCACTGAAAAATAAGCAAGTGCAACACTTGACAATTATAATAATCAAAGACTTTATTCTTAGTGACCTGAGAACACGAGCTTAAGGTGGTTTATCACAAAATTTAAATACTGTAAGTATGAATAAAACTTTCAGGAATTACATTTAAATATAAGCTGATTCATCTCACAAAATTTCAAACCATGTTACCAGGCAATTTTCTGTTTAACGTTAAAAATTGTATGTTGAACGTGGCCTTTTATAGGAGGTTATCTAATCTTTACAACATTAAACATAATATATTCCAAATTACACTCTTACTTTGATCATACAACTAGGTATTCAAAAAAAGTAATCATCAGCTTTTCGATGATATCAAGATAACTTAGGTTTGACAGAAAATATTGTGTAATATTTTATCAATTAGGTGGCTGTTTATAAAAAGGTACAGGTTACTTGAATAATGAACTGTGGCAACTTCATTACCTAATGTTTTTAGGTGTGATAGTCTGATATCACGTAAAAAGATAGTATGGGAGTGATGAGCTACTTGAGTACCTTCCTTTAATAACCAGGAAAGACTTATTTATTTAATGACTTAGTATACTTTATGCTAAATTAAAAATAATATTTAATCGTCATAATAAACAGAGGTATAAGTAATACATTTTTATGGTTTTTTTTGTGTTCTTTATTTTGTATTTTAATTTTTGAATGTATTCTCTAAGCTAAACAAATCGGTAATTAATTTGATGCGCTGTTAGTGTGAAATCATTATTCCTTTTTATAATATGCAGCCTTTTACTTACTCACTGAATGCACATATTTAGATCAAACTTAAAAAAATTGCTGTTTAAATTAAAATTACTCTTAATTTACGTTAACATATTAAAAATTCAAACTCATGTGCTAAAAAAAGTTAGTTTTTTATGTTACTTTTACAAAACAATAGCTACAACACAATAGTTAAAATACAAATCTAACAGGTTGTAGATCTCTGTAATAGTGTGAAAACTTGTCTATACTAAATAAAAACGAAAAATATTGTAGCAAAATAAAAAGAACATGCTAATTAAAATTTGAAATTGTAATTTGTTGTATTATAATATAATAACAGTTAACAGTTTCGTTTACTGTAATTATTCTAATTATTTTATTATAAACGAGTGATCAATTATGAAAT